GAGAGAGGAAAAGGTGGGAGAGAAAATACAGGTGGTCCTTACCACATTGGATCAGGAATTGTCACCCACTGGGTGGGTTTCATTCATTACGACATGGGGTTCCCAGTACGAGATTATTGTACTCGTAGATTATTGAAGGGTGACTACATCAGATGCTTCATTTCCCCAAATATTTCAAGGTTAACACCTGAAATCTCTAAGAGGTTTTGCTTGTAGGACCTTGTGGTGTCACAAAGGCAGGACAGGCAAAGTTTGGGAGTATGGTCTTTAAAACTGGGGGTGGAGGAGAGAATGTTTCTTATCCATGACTTCACAGCAACCGGTGAAAGTAAGCACTGAGTTGCACAATCTGTCCACTTGTGTCTACCTTCATCTTACATTTTGAAGGGCTATCATGTGAAAGATGGAGCAGGTTTGGCTCTTGTAGCTTCAGGATGAACGGGTTTAAATTATAAGACAGGAGATTTTCCTAAATATTAAGAAAAACTGAAGAGTTGGTCAACAGGAGACAGTAAACACCATTATGTTTCTTGGGACTTGCTCCCTCATACGTAGGTAGCCGTGCTGTCTTGGTGCTTCTGGGAACTGTGGTCCAAAAAGAGAATTTTTCTGAGTTCTGCAACATAAAACTGTTTGCACTGATGGGTGGCGTTAACTGATGGAGCCAGTGACCTGGGAGAAGACTGAGTGGATGCCAGCGGCAGGAGCTGCTAAATGGAGAAAAGCTGCAAAAGAAGAACTGTATAAGAATGAAACATGGACACTGACTAAGCTAACACCAGGCAGGAAAGCCATTGGGTGCAAATAGATACAGTATTCAAGTTGAAAGAAGGTGCAGATGGAGAAATGGAGCACAACAAGGCAAGACGAGTGGCAAATGGGTTCCTGCAGAAATATGGAGAAGACTTAAATGAAACTTTTGCTCCTGCTGTCAAGCACAGCACAATAAGAATGCTCCTAGACTTGCTCCCACATATGTAGGTAGCCATGCTGTCTTGGTGATTCTGGGATTCGTCGTTAAACGGTGCGCTCGTTATGCGAGGCACCACTGTACTAAGTTAATGAGAAAGGGGTGGACTATCTGAGGAACTTGTAGCTATTCTCCTCTGTGGATCTCTGTACTTCTATTGTGTAGCAAAATAAATTTTACCAGAAATTCAAAACTCTGCAACATTTACTTCTGAGCAGACACATTCAAGGCCTTAATACCATTTGATTTCATTTATATTCATCTGATTTAGGAAACTATGTAGAGTTGGGTTCCAGATAGGGCCTGAGACGAGTGGCAAATGGGTTCCTGCAGAAATATGGAGAAGACTTAAATGAAACTTTTGCTCCTGCTGTCAAGCACAGCACAATAAGAATGCTCCTGAGTATGGCAGCTTCCAGAAAGATGCAAGTCAAGCACCTAGATGTCAAGACTGCATTTCTATTACAGTGGTGCCTCGCTTAATGATTGCCTCGTTAAACAACGAAACAGCTTGACGATGAAGTTTTTGGAATCGCTTTTGCGATCGCAAAATGATGTTCCTCTGGGGAAAATTCGCTTAACAATGACCAGTTCCCTGCTTTGGGAACCGATTTTTCGCTAAACGACGATTTAGAAACAGCTGATCGGTGGTTCTAAAATGGCCACCCGCTGTGCAAAATGGCTCCCCGCTGTGTTTTCAGGATAGATTCCCCGTTTTACAGGCAGTGAAAATGGCCGCCCCCATGGAGGATCTTTGCTGGACGGTGAGTTTTCAGCCCATTGGAACGCATTGAACCGGTTTCGATGCATTTCAACGGGCTTTTTCGTTTCGCAAGACGATGTTTTCGTAAGATAGTGATTTTCGTGGAATGAATTAACATCGTCTTGCGAGGCACCACTGTATTGTTAATATGTGTTTGTCAGGTTGCCCTCAACTTGTGACAATCCATGAATGAGTGATCTCCAAAATGTGTCCTCAACTGCCCTCCTCAGCTCTTGTAAATTCAAGTCTGTTTTTCCTTTAGGGAGTAAATCCACCTCATATTTGGTCTTCCTCTTTTCCTGTTGCCTTCACCGTTTCCAAGCATCATTATCTTTTCCAGAGAATCTTGACTTCTAATGGTGTGCCCAAAGTAGGACAGCCTCATTCTTGCCTCCAAGTTCAGGCTTGATTTGTTTTAGGACCCACTTGGTATTCTAGGGTATCCAACAAGCTGGCATCCAGTGCCACATTTAAAATAAATCACTTTTTTGCTATCGCCTTTCTCAGCTGTCCAGCTTTCCCACCCATACATGGTGACCGGAAATACAATAGCGTGGATGATCTTAGTATTGGTTTTCAGTGCCATAATTCAGAAGACAACTCAGACTCGGACTGGCAGCAATGAAAGAACAAGAAATGATCATCAGTGTGAGGATGTGTCACTGCATTTCTGCATGGAGAGATTGCAGAAGAGTTTACCAACCAGACACATCCTGATTTTGTATGTGAAGTGAAGAAAGGCTTGTATGGACTGAAGCAAGTTGTTTGAACCTGGAATGAGAAACTGAAGGAGATGCTACTGGTACAAGCTTCGAGCAAAATTATGGAGATCAGGGTCTGTATACCAGAGGCGGAAATGGATGTTTAACATTCGTTCTTGCCTATGTAGATAGCTTAATTGTAGCTTCTGAAAGGGAACAGGAGAACCAAAGGAATGCACACTATGTTCACAAAGAAGTAGAAATCAAAGAATCAGGGGACAAAGCATAGGACTGGGGCATTAAAATTGAAAAGGAGTCAGATGGATCATATTTACTAAATCCGAAAATAAAAGATAATTGAGCTTCTGGAGACATTAGACCTCCAAGATGCCCAAAGTATTACAACACCCATGCAAACAGATTTTTTTTTAAAAAAACAAGGAGGTAAGTGAACCTCTGTCAAATAATAGTAATTACAGAATAGCTGTAGGTAAGCTTTTGTACCTCACAACTACTACTAGACCAGATATAGGTACACTAAGCAAAAAAGTTAGTTTGTCAGCCCAAAGTGATTGGGTAAGAGTAGCTACATATTTGAAAGGGACCATGGATTTTAAGTTAAAAGTGTTAGCTAGTAAAAACTCAAGGATTATAGAATACGTACATTGATGCAGATTGTGGGAATACTGTACAGTACAGTGGTGCCCCGCATAGTGACTTTAATCCATTCCGGGTTAATCGGCGTTATCCGGAAACGTTGCAATGCGGGGGGAAACCCCATAGAAACGCATTAAACTTCGTTTAATGCGTTCCTATGGGGCAAAAACTCACCGTTATGCGAAGATCCTCCATAGCGCCGCCATTTTCGCCGCCTCGGTAAGTGAGGAAATCGTGCGAAAATGGTTGCGGCGGCCATTTTGGGCACCCAGTGGCCATTTTGGAACTGCCAATCAGCTGTTCCGCAAACATCGCAATGCGAAGATCGGTAAGCGAAACGCTTACTGATCATCGCAATGCGATGTTTAGGCTATTAAAACATCGCAATGCGATCGCATTAGCGATCCAAAAAAAATAGATCGCTATGCGGATTTGTCGTTAAACGGTGGGCTCGTTATGCGAGGCACCACTGTACTAAGTTAATGAGAAAGGGGTGGACTATCTGAGGAACTTGTAGCTATTCTCCTCTGTGGATCTCTGTACTTCTATTGTGTAGCAAAATAAATTTTACCAGAAATTCAAAACTCTGCAACATTTACTTCTGAGCAGACACATTCAAGGCCTTAATACCATTTGATTTCTTTTATATTCATCTGATTTAGGAAACTATGTAGAGTTGGGTTCCAGACAGGGCCTGAAACATAGTTTAGGAAACTTAGTAGAGAGCCTGAAACTCTGGAGAGCCTTTGTTGACCATGTTGGTCTAGAGATGGACCAGGGGCCTATAAGGCAGCATCCTATGTTCCTATGTATTTTATATGAGGGTGGGTTACGTACCTGAAAGATTGCCTCCACCCACACAATCCTGGCCATCGTTTGTAGTCGTCTTAGAACAAAAGAAACAACAATGGCTTCACAATACATTTGAAAAACATCTTCAGTCTGAAACACTCGAGTCAGGTAGGTGAGTTAATATGGTTCTGCTTCATCAGTTATTCATTGGGGAGAAAAACATTCACCGTTTTTACTTTTCTCCCCATGTATTACAGCCTGGAGGAGAAAGAGAATGTGTGAATTATTAAATGAGTTTGTGCAGTGGGGGAAAAAAAACCTCAGATGAAATGCAGAAGAGAAAATCTGTCATGGATTGGGAACGGCAAGCAAACCAAGATCTCCATTTGCAACTTGAAAAGCAATGATTGAGAACAGTCTTACATTTGCTGCCGCTGAGGCTGATAGTGACTCAGCCTGTTGTCAGCCTCAGTGGAAGCAGATATAAAATGGGCCTAAAAATGCTTGGGCGTTTTGTATGCCCAAGAACCTAGCAATCTTGATCCATTCCTGACTCTTTTATTTGAGTGCATCGCCCTTGTGAATTTGTGCGGAAACTTGAGTGTTATTCTAGCCTTGCTTTTTTCAGGCCACCCATCCACAAATCAGAAATATGCCCCCCCCTTCTACCAGCCGCTTTGCTTTCTCGTGCCTCAGCTTCCAAAAGTCTGCGGCCCTCACCCGCAAAACGACAGCTAAGAAAAAATGCACCAATTTTGCTGTTTAACAAATGTTCGGTTTCAGTTTAAAGAGGCAAGCTGTCGTTACTCAAAGCTTCTCATATTCATGTGAGAGTGAATGTTTTTCTGTGTTTGAGAAAGAGCGATCTGATGGATTTCAAGCTTCTGGCAGATTAGATAGGGTGGTCTCTTACACCGGGTGATTTACAGTCAGTAAACCAGTTAAAAGAACCAAAGGCCATTCTGTTTACAGGACAGAAAGAGAGGGAAAAGTCCTAAACAAAACTTTGGTGCGTTCTTCCGAGGCCTGTGAAAAATCAAAACTTTTTTTTTTTTGGCTCAGACTGAGTTGGAGGCTGGACTTTGTCATTATTAATAAATGTTTTTGGAATGCATGAGTCCCGTCAGGGCTCTCCGCGCAATGTTTATACAGTTTCCTGGCTGAATCTCTTTAAGGAAGAAAGCAGGCGAGCCCGGAAAGAGGTAAAACAGAAATAGACTCATCCCCCCCTCCCCATCGTCTTTCTATATAGGAGTCTTTTAAAAACATATATTTTAAGCTATAGCTCTTTGCTGTATAGCAGTCTGATACAGGCTGCAATTTGGCTAAAACTCCTTTTTTCCCCTCGTCTAAACAGTTTGTTCTGCAGATGGAGCCAATGGGAACGACGCTTGAGGAAACGAAAACGAATCTGGATATTTTGGGTTGTTATTGTTTCTTTGGGAAAAGGATTTAGCAGCAGGGAGCGAGAAAGGGCAGGGAGGGTTGTGGAACAAGGGGAAAAAATGACACAGCAGGGCCTAACTCTGGAACTGAGAGGCAGCCAAAGAGGGGTAATTTGCCTTCTGATTAGCGCTTGGAAAAGTTTATTCTCCAGGCTACGGCTATGTTGGCGGAGAGATTCTGGAAGTTACAGTCAACAAAAATGACTTGCCTAGACTGCTTATAGGGGCATAGCAGGAAAGCTGAAATTTGAAGGAAGGGCCATAGCTTTAGAGGGCGGACCATGTTATTTGCAAGCAGAACCTCCAAGTTTTGAGTCTTTCTACCTCTAGTGCTGGTCATTACCTGTAAAGCCCTCTACATCTTGGGTCCAGGCTATCTGAAGGACCGTTATCTCCCTATATGCGCCTTCTCGGCAATGGTTTTGAGTCTTTCTACCTCTAGTGCTGATCATTACCTGTAAAGCCCTCTACAGCTTGGGTCCAGGCTACCTGAAGGAACGTATCTCCCTATATGCACCTTCTTGGTGATCAAGATCAGCTGAGGAGACCCTCCTCTTGGTCCCATTGCCAGCACAAGCCCAGCTGATGGGGACACGGGAGAGGGCCTTCCCTGTGGCTATAGAACGCTCTCCCTCAGGGGATCAGGAGGGCCCCTTCCCTGTTATCCTTGGACCCCTTCCCTGTTATCATTCTGAAAAAAGCTGAAGACCCATCTCTTCAGGAAGGCCTTTAATAGTTATAACTGAATCCCTGAGCCCCATTTTTCTTGTAACAGTTATAACTGAATCCCTGAGCCCCATTTTAGCAGATAATTTAAATCTTTTTCATGTTTTAATCTTTTAATTGTATCTAAGATTGAATATTATTCAATTTATCTTTAAAAAATTAACTTATTGTCTTTTTAAATTGTGTGAATTTTAATGTTGTGAACTGCTTTAGGTCCCTTGTTGGGAGAAATGTGGCATATAAATGAAACTAATGATGATAATAATAATAATAATAATAGTAGGGCTGCCTAAGATTTCTATGAAGTTTCAGAGAGATACAGCCAATTTGTATATTAAGTGGCACAGCATTAGATCTACCGTATTTTTCGCACCATAAGATGCACTTTCCCCCCACAAAACAGGGGGGTGGAAAGTCTGTGCGTCTTATGGAGCGAAGAAAACAGATTATATTTTCCTGTTTTCTTCTCCTAAAAAATTGGTGCTTCTTATGGAAAGGTGCATCTTATGGAGTGAAAAATACGGTAATCTGCTCTGATCGAAGACAACACCCTAAATCCCAAACTCACACTGGGATCAGCTGGCATACAGAACAGAGACTCTTGGTTGAAGGCAGAGTGGGGAACCATGGTCCTCTGTACGGAACAACTGCTGACTTCCTCTTACTCCACTGGGTAGCCTGGTTGGGACTGATGGGGACAAGAATCCTGTGGGCTTCAGCTGATGCTGAGTTGCTCTCTCAGGGGGAGGGCCTTCCCTGAAGCACTGGGCTTGATTTCAGCAAACAGCAAGAGTGCTCAACCTATATCTGGGCTGCACGGCTGGAGTTTCTAGGCACTGAGAATCTAATGTGATCCATGAGTCTGTAGATCTATGACCTTTGTCCATGCCACACCCTAAAATAAGATGTCATGGCCAAGACCAAGCTGTGGACACCCGACTTCTCCGCGATAGACTTGTTTCTATATGAAGAAGTGTTTTTCATTCTGGGAGAAGCTTCTTACAATCTTTGTAACCAAAGCTAAGCTTGCTGCCTGTTTATGTGGAGTTCGCTGAAATATGCATTATAAATTTGGGTATTTATATAGTATAAAGATCAGAAGATGAACATTAAGAATGTAAGACTTGTTCTTATACCAAGGCAGCTTAATATTGTTTAACTTAGGAGTTGAAAAATTCTTAGGAGATGGAAGGGCTCTTGGCATGGGGGACACTTCCTAGACCAAAATTTGAAGTGGCCAGAAGATCAGGGCCTGTTCTCTAAAAATTCTACTGCTCTTCCCAAACAGGCTAACACAAACAGGATTTGTTTTGAGTGAAAACCGTGCTTGTTGGAAGCTTTTGGGAGCAAAATATGCCCTTCTAAAAGTTTTTAAAGAAATGAACCTTTGTTTTGGATTGTCGGGTTGGTGGCCTGAAAGCTGGACGGGATGGGTCTATGCATCTTCTCTACGCCATCTGTTGCCTACTCTGGTTGACAGTAAAGAAGGGTGGCGGTTGAAGGAATTCGTCTTCCTTGGTGGTCCAGAGCATCCACAGCAGTGGATGTAGTGGCAGTGATGGGTAGAAGCAGTAGCTGGGCACAAATTCAATCCTCTATGTCTGCTCTTTTAATACCCCATAATGTTCTAGTGCAGCACATCACAGGGTTCCCTGTGGGTACGTGAAGTGGCAAATACCCAGATCCAGCTTTTTTTTTTTTAACGGGAGCAGGGGGGGGGGGGGGGGGCAAAGATGGAAAAATATCTATATATATTTTGGATGAAACCTCCCAGAATTCCAGAACCAGCATGACCAGTGACAATGTTATTCTGTGCTGTTAAGACAGAACCAACTTATAGTGACCCTAGCAGGGACTGTTAAGACAGAACCAACTTATAGTGAGCCTAGCAGGGCTTTCAAAGTAAGGACTCGCCAGTGATACCAATCTGGCTGGTTTCTTTTAAGATTGTTTCATAAATGTCTACAATGCACAACCAAGATAGACTCATTTTCCCGGTGAGTGGTTTATTTCCAAAGTAAGGACTCGATCACACCTGGCAAAAGAACCCCATTGATACCAATATGGCTGGTTTCTTTTGAGATTGTTTCATAAACTTCTAAGTACACTATGCACAACCAAGATCGACTCATTTTCCCGGTGAGTGGTTTATTTCCAGTTTATTTTCTCCTTGCCGAGAGGGTGGTTTTAAATTGCATTGATGATGCATCAATTCATTCTGTCCTGGTACAGCGTGGGTGCACATTTCTATGAATTCTTTTCCCATCCTCAGTCCCCGAGCCAGGTGGATGCCATGGCTGCTGTACGCTGTCCTGCTTTTTTAAAAAATAATTTCTACAAGGGGCATGTTGTTACTGATGTCTTCAGCTTTACAGGAACAATCTTGGTGCGGTTTGATTTTGTGTGGCATTTGTCTTGTTTACTGATTGATGACTTTCCACCTACTGTCAGCCAGGTGGCACAGACATACAGATGGGAGTCGGGACCATGGTGGGCAACATATTACAGTACTCCCTGAGACTTAGGCACCACAGAACTAATGTTCCCAAACAGGAATCCCTTTCTGCTATGTATATTGATGTATCAGGGATTATTTTTAAAAGGAAAGGATGAGCAGCACTGCCCCTGGACACATCTGAGGAAATAAATTGATTAGGAATCCCTTTCTGCTATGTATATTAATGTATCAGGGATTTTTTTTAAAGGAAAGGATGAGCAGCACTTTCCCTGGACACATCTGAGGAAATAAATTGATTCTAAGATGTAGCTGCAATGATGTTTCAAATAAGAAGATATGAATTGATATTGTAGAAACCAATGGGAATTTCCCCACGGTATATATATCACGTGAATGTGAAAGAAAATGTATCGGTATAACAGGTAAAGTTTCCCCTTGACCATTTTTGTCGGATATGAATTGATATCGTAGAAACCAATGGGAATTTTCCCAGCAGTATATATACCACGTGAATGTGAAAGAAAATGTATCGGCACAACAGAGGTACAGTGGGGGCTTGACTTAAGAACGGCTCGAGTTAAGAACATTTTGACTTAAGAACCACTCTCACAGGAAAATATTGACTTGACTTAAGTACTTAGATTTGAGTTAAGAACTAAAAAAACCACGTGGGAGGCAGGGAAAGTGCAAAATTTGAACTTATTCGATCTTACGACTTGGTCTTCTGACCCTGCAGCACAGGCTTCTGCGGTTTAGCCCGCAGCACCACCATGTCCCTCAACAGAGGGACAACAGAGGTATCAGTATAACTGGGGTTCTTTTGGCAGGTGTGATTAGGCCCTGCGTGAGATAGTTAAGGAGTGGCCTTACCACGTCCACATCCCCAATGAGTTTCCATGGTTGAGCAGGAATTCAAGCCCAGGCCTTCCGAGTCCTTGTTTGTCACTCCTGTCTGACAGTGTAGGGCGTGGGTCTCTAGGAATTGTAATTTACCTCAGATCAAGCATTTTCCATGTTTGCTCAAGGCAGGCACCACTGAGGATGCAGCCACATCTGAGATATCAGGAGAGCAGGGAATCATTTTTCTTAAAGTTAAAAGGAGGCCACTGTCAAGAATAAGATAACCTGTATGAAAATCAGTATCATAAGCAGCTGATGAAACACAGGATGCTGTGCTTTGCATGGATAGGAACCCAGGTGCAAAACCTCTTCCACTATGAGCTTTAAATGCCAAGTGAGACCCGGGATCCTGGAGATGGATTGATGACTGTTTCTCAATTTGAGAATTTATTTCTCTTAAGACCGACCAAAGTCTGAGCCTGTGCATCCTCAAGGAGCAGTGTGGAATGTGTTTCTGCAATTTGGCATGGAATAATTAGCATGTTGTTACCCTCGCCGACGAGAGGGAACATGCAAAGGAAAGAAGTGGAAATGTTATTTTGATAGCCCAACGAAAAAGGCACTGATGACGGCCAATAAACTGAAACTTAATCCAGGCAAGATGGAGATCCTCCTGCTGGGTGGATCATCTGACTGGCTAGAGGGGCATTTCCCTGGTCTCGATGGGCTTGCA